GAATTCCAAGACACTTATTACAAATAAAATAAGTCAACTCTCTTACTTAAGTGAGACTTGTTGCCCCTGACAAAGGCACACTGGGCTTTTAAAAGTCCTTCAAAAGGAACTAGAGCAGACTGCACCCTGCTGAAAACCATATGAGCCCCCCCCCCCCGTCCCTAAATTCAAATGAGGAATGATTTGATGCTCAAAGACGGGAAAACAACTTAGACCGTTTAGCATTTCACAAGTCAATTTCCAGGTTTTAAGGTACTATAATGTGCTTTTGTGCATCAGAATACAATTCATAATGTTGCAGAGACTTAGAACCACTAACATGGCCTTATAAGGAGATGTTTGACAGATCAAGTTACAAGTGATGCCTAAATGCTAATGTAATTTCATATGAACCAGGCTGAAAGAGATGCAATCAACCATTCCCGATTCAGACGACTGTTGTGTTTAAGAGGATGACAACCCCCTTTTTTATTGTCTATGTAATTCACCAAAATTGCCACTTACAGCCGCTAAGAGCAGCACGTTTCATCTCCAAGCTTCCTCTGGTCTTTGCTACTCATCCCATTTCTACTTCCTCCAAAAGTGCCACCACTTCATTAACCTTGCCAGGCATGAGATAAGAGAGGGAGTGCATCAAAGCTGCCTGCCCACAGAGAGAACAGAGCCCTGCATGTCTCCACTACACAGCAGCCATCACACACACTGGCAGATACACAGTCCAAAACCCATCCAACACACAGAAAAGACCTTTTGTGTTCCAAACTGTCATTCAGAAATGTTTTTTTTTTTTTCTTTTGTGCGTAGGACATCATTATGTTTTAAATAAGTGGGGTGAAAAGATTTGCTTGTTCCAAAAGGTTTTAAGGGAGTTTGATTGGGAAAAAATACAAAAATAATTGCCTTAGACACTGCAGACACTTATTTTTGGTGTCTCGTAGCACTGTTACGAGAGGAGTGCAGGTACACAGCGCTATCATCAGTATGACCTATACACTAAAAAACTTGCAAAATGAGAAAATTAAACAAGAAAAGCATCAAAGCCAACTTCAGCCCGATGAGTAACAACTCCCGACTTCCTCAAAGCATGAAAGTAGATGGTAGGAAATGTATTAACTGAGTCACAATATTGTTTTACTTGCACCACATACAAATCTCTCTGGTGCATTTAATCCCTCTACCCACAGTTTCTCAGAAAGGAGGATATAAATTATTTTCCTTTGGTGGAAACTGCAAATCCCTGTCTGGATTCTGTTAAAAGGCTTAAAATGTCACTAAATGCCAAGGCTGAGACTCCTGCTAACACGTAGGTCTTTAAGACAAGATGTTAAAGCGTTGAAAGTTACCTGAAATTGATGAGGTTAATATTCTTATCGCAAACCGAGGCTTCTGTGAAAGTGGATATTGAAAATAGCCAGGTAACCCTTCATATTAGAGGCTATCACAAGGATTAGCAGCATAAACACCAATTACACATTTAATTGTTTATTGTCAGTAGCATTTAGAAAACATGCCACAGTGCATAAATTAAAAGGATTGGGAAAGTAGAGGAGGGGAATTTGCCACAATATAATATCATCATAAGTATGTATATATGAGAAGACGACGAGAAAATGTCTCCAAAATAACAAGTCAAACTGCTGAATGCCGGGCTATAAATGAGTAATTTACCATGAATATCCTTCTCTATCCCTTTACGACCATATGAATTTCCAAACCACGTTATACTAGCATGGAAGGGTCTGTCACTGAAAATTTGAAATAGAGGACAAAGGGCCACCGAGCAAATAGGTTTTTTTTTTTTTTTTTTTTTAGACACCATCCTCTGAGTTCTCTGCCAATGTGAATCAGAGGTAAAATACAGTGCATTAAGTCGACCTCTGAGGCAGCACAGAGGAGGGTAGAGTGAGACATTCTGCTATCTATTAAGACTTGCGTTATGTATATATTGTGTTTTGAAGGAATTTTACTGATCCACAAAACCAGCAGGAAAGGATAAGAGTGAGTCCATAAGACCATGTGGTAAGCAACTGCAGTGCAGATTCTCAGGCAAGTTGAAAGTTGCTGTGCCGTTAAGGAGAAAGTCTGGCAGAATCCTGCATGCCCGCTGATAACATGGTTGGATTAAGGATGTTTAAGGGAAGTGAAAATTATTCATTTGAGATGGATGAAAGCTGCACTTGTCAAGTCTACCAGTCATGCACTTTATACATTTCATTTCCACTAGCCAGCATGCATAATTTCCCCTCAATGCAAATTTCTACACACTGAAAATTGTGAGCATATTTACCCCGCTCCCTTAACACATTCTCTGACACAGAAAATGGATCATCTCTATTGAACAGGGAACAAAACAATGCAATTTTGTTTGCAGAGGTGTGAGAATCTAATTTTGTGCAGGAAGATAAAGTCACAAGACTCAGTAGAATACAAACAATAGCTTTCATTTGAAATCATGCCTGAATCAAAAAAGAGACAATGTTTGGGGCCCTGCTCATCAGAATGACATCTATGGAAATAATTTTAGCACGTCCAATTATCCAAGCAGACGTCATGTTACGAGTGTAATTACTGGTTTTAAGTCAGAAAAAGTCTTGGCCTCACTGTTGGTCTAGGAGCCTTGTAACTGAGTATATGTACTGTATATCTGTCTCTCTATACAAATATTATGATCTCTCTGATGAGAATTAAGTCTCCAGCCTGGATGGCCAATAAATTAGAGGCACGCTTCTCGTTTACTCATCAGAGCTAATGAGCCTGATAAAATTACCTCGAGGATCATAATTACAGGCTAGTGGCAGAGGCTCTGGCAGGGACTGGAATAAGACGACACACACACTCACACTCACTCACTCTCACACACACACACACACACACACACACTCGCACTCACACAGAATTCAGATTGTATTGCAAGTGGCAGTCTACAACAGCTAACCTAAAACAGCACAAAGCACTCACGTCTTATTAATAGAAAAACAGACTGATGCTAAGTGTACACAAGCAAAGATTATACATTGTCCATTTTCACTCAGGAAGCCTCACCAGTTCAGCTAATGAGACATATAGAAACCTATGTGTTTTGACATCATCACATTTACAAAAGAAAAAAAAAATGTACAGGATTAACATAATGTAAGGTGCTGAACAATATTACAATTTCCACCTTTCTGTCAGAGCAGTTCAAACAGATTTTTACCACCCTTTCATAAAGATTAAGCACTTCATGGGTAATGGCATATTTTAATGAACGATGGCAGCCTGGACACAAGAGCTCACCTCAGAGGATTCCATTTCATCACACATTCACAGGATGAATTGTTTTACTTATGAATATTAATGTCCCTCTAATTTGAGGCTGTTGTTAATGCTTGTCGCTAGGAGCTTGGCAAATCAGGTCCCATTCCTGTTAAAACCATGTATTAGACACCCCCCTGACACTAAGCCCTCGCCTTTGATTCTTAATTGCAGAAGTGCAAGCATTTGCAGTAGATGGGGCGCAAAGCTTTAATTAACTCTAATATCACACATTCAGTCTCGACTGTCACCCACATCACGCGTGGCATTTTTGTACCAATATCATCCCCAACTCTGCTCAGCTAGAAAGATTGTGTTCCAAGTTCATGATCACGATTTCATGCATCTCAAAATGAGGGATATGTAGTTTATAAGTAGCTGCAATATATTGACGCCAGTGAATTATCTTGATGCCGTCTTTAAAAAGCCTTTTAAAAAAAAAAAAAAAAAAGCATACATTGCAGCAGCTCTGTGATCACTGTGCAGCTTTAATGCAAAGGAGTCGCAGCATTGTTGGTTTCTCAGTGGAAAGCAACGTCTGATCTTGGCAGTCGTTGAATCAACAGTCTTTGGGTGAAGCTTGCAACATGGGAAGTGGAGTGATAAAAAAAAAATAAATAAAATAAAAAAAAGTTCTGGGATGTGCGGCAAAGGAAGGTGTTATTAAGTAAATAATTCAACCTCTCGTGCGTGCTAATCTTCAAAGGATTTATTGGACAACAGATTTCAAGTTTAAAAATATAAATAGAGTACAAGTACAACATAGCATTCAATAACACTTCTAAAATTGCAACATTACAGTACGTCCCTCACAAACACTGTGAATGCCATTTTCACACACGAGTGACTCTACGCGTCGTTTGAACATTTTAATAGCTCAGGTGCAGAGCAATTCTGATGCAGATATTAGTAAAGAGTAATGTTTAATTAAACCAGGTTTGAAGATAAAGAGCTCAATACAACCTATAGTTTATAAGCCTTCGCCGGCCATAAGCTACTGCTCTACCTAATCCTCTTTCACATAACATTATTGCATCAGCACAGCTGAACATTTTTGCAGCATTTATAAAATTAGCAAAGAAATTAACTGTCTGTACTGTGGCAAATTGGATTTCCAAGTTCTTGCCTTGTGATACAGCATACCCAGGCTGCCACCTACAGTACAGAGTGAGAGGGGAGCTCCAGTCTGCAACAAGGCAGTTCAACATGTGTGGCTCTCCATTTTACACTCCACAGCCATTCAAACTTAATTGTCAAGGCTTTTTTTTCCCTCCTGCTAATATCCTTACAGGAAATTTGTTAAAATCCATTATTAAATAAATACTGAAATAATTTCATTTTGGATCAAGGCTGTTGAAGGATTACACATTTATTCTCCTCAGTCCTATTTGCACGTGGAGCAGCCAGTGCTCCCTTTGTAATTTACACATCATGATATTTGATTTTAACTTCCCAGCATCCAATTTTTTTTGACCAGGTGCATTTTAATTTGCTAAACCTTAAAATGAGACACCTCACTCCAATCATTCAATGAAACATAAAGCACCTTTACATAACATCTATATCCATAAATGGTGGCTTTTTAAAATCGATATAAAGGAAACATTCACAGCAGCGTTTGCTACGTAATTAAACACCTTCTTTTTTCCTTTTTTTTTTTTTTTTTTTAAATGTGAAAAACAATAGTGAAAAAACATGACACCCCTTGTGAAAAAAAGTAAAGACTGAGTCATAACCTACAGAGAAATTTCTCACCCCACTTAAATACCACCAAACTAAGAACTGAAGGTGAATCTTGAACCAAAATTTCAGATGAACATCTAATTTGAATTAAAAACATTATGCTTCCTCATTCGACACCTTTTCCTTTGCCTTCTCATTAGCACACCATCTACTGCAGCATTTAAATATAAAAAGCTTAGAATTTAATATAAGGAATATTAATACATTAATAAAATAACAAAGTTTAGTAGAAAAAAAAAATCCATCATTCCACTCGTCTTTTACTTCTTCGTCTGAACAGTTTCGAGATGGAGGATTTCCTCTTATTTTTGGCTTTCTTTACTCCTATTCACCAACAAAAATGTACATTAGAATGATATATTGAGGTTTAAGAAAAACACTTTCTTAAATTAAAGACATTTTATATGGGACTTACCAAGGTTTTTCATCATTTCATTCAGCTGCTGATCCTCCTCCACTTCCCTGGAATTAATGAAAAATAAAACCACATTCAGTCTTCCTTGCATTGGATTGAGATTGTTATATAAGCAGTGTTGCTCTACACTAGTGATCACTCTTTCAATGTAAACATTCGTGATAAGACGCATCATGTTACCTCAGCCTGTCTTCATCCAGACCCTCCACAATCGCATTTCTGCCGTCCACAATCTCCATCAGCCTGTGCATCAAAAACGTCTCCCGCTGTTGCTCCTCTCTGGACTTTAAATGATCTGTGATACCAGGTGGATTTCAGTGTTCAGTGGAGACAAAAAAAAAAAAAAGAAGTAACAGAGCTGAAGTTAAACCTGTAATGTCTTACCTGGCTTCTCCAGCAGCCTGCGAAGTTCCCCCTCCACACCTGGCTGCTGCTGCTCCAGCTCCTGAGTCCTGGCTCTGAGATATCCATCATTAATTACATGCAAAAAGAGGCCAATCTAATTTATTATGCACATGACATCTATCCCAACACGGTAACAATCTTGAACAAATGCATTTGGTTTGACAGTCAATAAGTTTGAATTCTCCCTTGTGTTATACAACTGTATGGAAAAACAGGCTTCATTCTCATAGAGGAATCCCAGCGGACAGGAAGTTATTTCATATTACTAAAAATAAAACAACTTTGGCACAACATCAACACTGACTGTAAGAGAATCAGTTACAACTAAAACTCCGATGTTTTAAGCTATAAAACAGTTGCACTCACGTGTACACAAGCTCCGACTCCTTCCTAATGTACATCTGCTTCCTTCGAATCAGGTTGAACCAGTCGACCATCAGTGGGTCCATCAGTACGTCTCCCTCTCCCTCTGGAAAAAAAAAACAAAAAAAACCACAACACAAACTTGTTTCAAATATGTTTGTAAAACACTGGATACAATTTGTGACCCTTGATAATCTTCGATGATGGTCAATATAAAAGCACCGGAGTAGAGACTCATGAATCAGTCATGATACAACACTTATAATGCCGGTTTTTAAAAACATATGCGTTTAGTATCTCCTGCTGTGTGGTCGATTTAATGCAACTCAGCTGTATGCTTCTGATTTGTGAGTAAATGAAATTCTGCAGGGATGAATTAAGCTCAAAGAAAGTGTTCAGACAGCAATATTTAAATACAGTTCTGTGCTCTTCTGATGTCAAATAATGCGGCGACTGAGGTTAATGGGAAAGCGGTAAAATAATTCTGTTTTCATTTACATTATACCATTTTCTACAACATTCAAGAAGCATCCCCTCATCCAGAATCATGGCTCATTTTTTTCTTCACCAGCTCTTTTGTTTTCATGAGACTGCATTCATTACACAATAATAAAATTAAGTGCAATAACAAATTAGGTTTTTGAGTAATTTGGCTGGTGGAGGTGAGATGAAGGGTGACTCACCTCCTGGGACCACATCAACACTCTTAAACACTCTGCAGCAGCCAATAACACACAGCTCTCAACCTTAAAATGGAGCCCTTAAAATTCAGCGTTAATATCACTCTCACATTCAGCAGAGCAAAGACATCTTCAACATTTATCATGTAATGGAGATCATTGGTCAACCCTGCTGTTGTGTATACTTCTCAGCAGGACACTGCGTTCCTTCATTTTGCAGAGTGTGAATATTTCGATTAGTCGATTATCAAAATAGTCGGTCGTGTAATCACTTCGTCAGTTTTCATGCAAAAATGCCAAAGATTCTCTGATTCCGCTTTGTCAATGGAGGAACTGTTGCTTTTCTTGTCACATATGAAAGTAAACTGAATATTTTTTTTTTTTTTTGGGGGGGGGGGGGGGTTCAGACTGTTGTCACACAAAACAAGGATTTTAAATGTCACTTTTTGAAATTATAATGAACATTTTTCTCTCTTTTCTGACACTATATTAAAAACACAAAGACACACACACACACAGTGAAAATGAAAATAAGTCTTATTTGCAGCCATTCATTAAAGGCAGAGGCCGCAGCATTGTGTCTGTCAAATGCTATGAAATGCTACACCCAAATGTTATCTTAATGCTCGAGTTTTAACATGCTGAGGACGTAGACCTACACAGAGGGAATACACAGTGAAGTACAGATTTGTCTTAATCACTTATTTAATAATGACTAGCAACAATTCAGCAGGGATTAGCTTTCATTCTTCTAATAGCTTTGGCACGCTTAAAAAGAAAAGGACCATGTTCAAGAAGTCCTCGACAAATAGTGAACATCCAAACTCTAAAACATTAAGGCACTTTAAATATTTTTCTAACCCAGTTTTCATGGTTTAGTGACTATGTTGTCACACTATACTGTGTGCACAATAACACAGTACTGGGTAGCGATGTCAACAGTTTGCATTTTCTGTTTCACAAAGTCAGGTTGGAGTACCTGAGTAGGTGGAATAATTGATTTTAAATGAATATTAGCCATTGCCAATTAGCGAACCAATCAATCAAAACACACACGAGAGTCACATTTACAATAATGGCTGATCTGGACTGTGACAAGGCAGCCCACATCCTGCCATCACCAGAACAAACACGATTTTATTCTGAATTGAACTCGAGTGCCAGGGTTCAGTTTTTTACGCCGACAAATTCCAGAAGTCGATGATCTCCTAGGTGGTGTGCAATTGATGTCAAATTCTGGCCAAGCGGTTGCATGCTCAGGCTTCCTGGGTGGCACGTAGAGAAAAAAAAAAAAAAAAAAAACACAGTACGCAATTGACCAGAATATATATTACTATACCCAAGTCATGTTGACCTTGAGGAAAGCAATCAGGCCCCCTACTCCCACTACCTTAAAAGAGAAGCAACATCCCTGTGGGCTGTCTGTGCCTCTCACCTCATTTGGCTGCAGAAACAGTAATAGAAATGGCAGGTAAATCCCCTGCACACACACGCGCACACACACAAACCTCCAGCTGACTGTGAGTTAACGTGAGTGTGTGTGTGTGCGTGTGTGAAACTACCAGGACACAATTCTGCACTAGAGATACTGAAGCAGGAAAAGGGATTCAGCAGTTTGCACTAATACAGTAAAATATCAAAGTTTGTGGCGGGGGTTATTCACGGCAAGAGAAACAAAACTGACGACTGGCATCATCTTCTGCCTCAGAGTAAGTGAGCGGTTTGAAGGACTCTTTATTTCCTAAATTGAAAAGCTTGTTTCCAATTTGTCCACATTCAATTTTATTTGTATGACTAAACAAGGCAAAAAGGAGGAAGTGGGATAAAAAAAAAAAAAAAAAAGAAAAAAAAGAAAAAAGAAAAAGAAAAGTACCTTCTTCACAGCTGCGCAGCTTCTTTTCCAGCTCCACACCCTCCTTCTCCAACTGAGCCAAGTTTGTCTCAATATCATTCAGCTCCGTCTCAATCTGCTCCACCGGGATGTGATAAGACTTCACCTGATATAAAACAAAGGATTTAAAGAGTCACAGTCAAGTAAAGATCATTTTCATTTCAAAATTCTGACTTTGGCCACTTAGATGTAAAGAAGGTCGTCCATTTTTTTTCCTGGGAATGTAATGAAAGCATATTTGTAGAGCTGTTAATTAATCTCTTAAGAGACTTAATGGAGGGAACTTACAGAGGGTGACCTCATTTCAGTCCTGGAGGCGTTGGTGGGTGACAAATACTTTCCCTTTTTAGCGCCTAAGAGGTAGATAAAATAGGATTAGATAGTCCTTTCATGGCAGCTTTTCAGAAAAGCATTGTCACATACGACTTCACCTGATTTATTTTCAGTAGAAAAAAAAAAAAAAAAAAGAAGAAAGAAAAAAAGGCTGCTCATATGAAATCAACAAGATGGCTGAGGCCATACATGTGTGGCTTTGATGATGACTTTTTTTTTTTTTTTTTTAAAGCTGGGAACCAACCTGGCGGATTTCCGTGATTGGCTGGAGCAGTGGTTGAGAAGCTAATAGATTCCACAGCTGGTCGTCTGGGTGGGGATTTCACAGGCGAGCGACTCCCATGTTTAAAACCTAAAATAAGGACAGGAAGGTTTACATGCAGTAGTTCTGCAGTAAGTTCAATCTGCTAATGCCTTTTTCTGTTTCCTGCAGAATCAGACAAAAATCTTATCACAAGAATCACCAGAACACATGTAGGGCAGCGTGTCTTTGTGGGAATCAGTGTGTGTGGATGTTACTTCATGAATTTCTAGCCACGCTACTTTGGTCCAGACTATATCTCAACGCGTATGGGATGGATTGCCAAATGTGTACAGATGTGCATCGTCCCCAGAAGGTGCCTTCAGTGACCCTTTCCTCCAGGTTCATATCTGTGGTTTTGAGTGAAAAGTCTCAACAACTTCAGGAAAGGATTGCCATGAAATGTGGCACAGTCATTCATGCCATTCTCAGGATGAAGTGTAACGACTGTGTTTAGCGCTAATTAACAAATGTTGGCATGCTAACACACTAAATTAAGCAGGTAACCATTACACTGGCTAAACATCTCAACGTCGACGTGTTGGTTTAATAGAATTTGGTTCACCTGTAAGCTTCAGTTGCTGTGCACTCTTAGTCTTGTTAATGCTTTGCAAGGTTTCAGAGTAAAAGTTGATTAAGCTGAGCAAAATTCAAATTTTGCTCTTAAAATAATTGAACTTTGGTTCCACAATACACTCATAGTGGAACCAAAGTTCACCAAAGTTCAATTATTTCTTTACACATAGACACAGACTAATAGTGAGAGTGTACACAGTGTTTCAATGGGGATTGCTTAGACAAGTGCAAAAAAACTGTTTCAAGCACTGTATTTTTATCCAGTGATGCATTTTACAAACTACATCAAGCAGTACTGAAGAAAAAGCTTTTTGGTATCCAACACCCAACAAATACAAATAGACATTGCTGGAAAACAAATGCCTCCTATAACAATGTGACTTACCGAGGTTTCCAGAGGCAGGCAGAGGTTTCTGCGGAGAGACATCCACAAAATGCGTGGGATCAAACAGAGCAACGCTGACTGGAGGTGCTGCAGGTGGTGGGGACGACGGAGGCCTTGTTGTAATGACGGAGGCATTTGAGGACATGAATCGAGGCTTATGTTGCTCAGTGGAGGCTTCAGCTTCAGCATCTCTGTAAGAAAGTCATACCGAAATAAACCTTAAAGTGTGTGACCATTAAAAAAACTAAAAAAAAAAAAACTGTAAAAGCACAGCTTGTATCTGACACAGATGTAACACACCAGCAGGGCTGATCATAAAGAATGAAAATATAAGAAAAAAAGCCTCACCTTTTTTATTTTGAAATGATAAAAAGGTGGGGACAATGGAGGGATCATCAGCAGGGATTAGAAACGAGAGAGTCTATAGTGTTAAGAGTAGGAAAGGTTCAGGCCCGGCACTCCTCAGGGTTTGTTAGGATCGGGGACAGAGCTAGCGGCTGCACTCTGAGCCAGTCAACAAGGACAGAGACGGATGAAGCCTGAGGTTTCTGCATTCTGGAGAGTGAATATGCTGAGTAGTCAGGGATGTGTTAAGGCAAAATCCTTCTCCACCTGCGTGACCTTCCCGCTCCCAGCTGAGTGAGTTATATGGTAATATTGATTATTAAGATGATTGATCATACTTACTTCAGACCTAGCTCGGTTCTCGCAGCTCTGAGCTTTGACTGTCCCTCTAGGCAGACTGGATCTGCAGAAGAACAATTACACAGAAAACTAATGAAAACAAAAGTAAGGCGGCCAATTATTTTAGTTACTTATAATTTTCATTAACACTTAATCTGTTGATTATTTTTTCAATTCATCAATTAATTGTTTAGTTTATAAAAAGTAAAAAAAAGCTCAGGATGATATATCTCAATAGTCCACAACACAAAGATATTCAATCTAAAATAATATTTAAAAAAAAACAGAGGAATTCAGCAAATACTCAGATTTGAGAAAGTGGGACTCAAACATTTGGCACTTCTGCTTAATAAACAACTGGAGCCATTAACTGATAATCAAAATTGTTCAGTTGATCAAGTAATCAATTAATCAACTAAATGGTTTCAGCTCTGAATAAAAGCATGATGATATCATCTTGTGTCATGCGTAACTACTGAAATCATTATCAATTTCAACACCAGGGAGAAAATAGCACCTCAACTTTAATGGTGCATCTGCTTCGGCGATGAGGTGTGAACTCAAAGCAGTTCAAGTTTCTGTACAACAAAAGACTCCCTCGACTCTTCTCCACGTCACACTCACCTGACCAGCTGATAATGAGTGCAGCTACTGGTTTCATTATCTAGTCTCTCACAACAAGACACTAAAGTGACTGATCTTCACCTGCACATCTGTATTAAAGACCCAAATCGCGCTTTAATCCGTGCATGAAACAAATGGATAAATGCAAACCGATTTCCGAGACAAGTTGGAGTAATGTCTACATGTGGTCCATATTAGCAAGCAACAGAATTACTTTCCACAATAGGGAGACTTCTATCAATGCTGATAATATGGTGACCATTTATACTGAAAACCAACAGTAATTGTATTTCTGTCTGAATGGCTTCTGACTGTCAGGATGTTGCACCCATGCATGCACATCCATCCCGGGAGAGTGACAGTTCAACTATGAAAGTTCATTACAAGTGTGAGACAGAAATTAAAAATGTCAGCTAACAGCCCACTAGATAGATGCACTGGCTGTGTAAATAGGGCAAAAAATGACAAAAAGGGGGCTTTGTTTTCTATGAATGCTTTCTGAGACAGACAGAGAGAAAGGATGGGGGGGGGGGTTGGCTAGATGTCAAATAATGGATCAAGAATAACTGAAATGAATTTAGTGGCGCTTGCCTTTGGCTGTTGTGTGTACAGTTGTTGGCCTTGTGTTGTCTATGTTGACGGCCTTCAGACATGGCAATTCCTTATTGTTTGTCTGGCTGGTTGAAGGCTGTCTTGCCCAGTTTCCTGCTGGGCCTTGGCTGCATTTATCCTTTCTGAGACCGGGGCTGTCAGCTGAACTTGGCTCATCTCCAAATCTGCAGAGGCAGAAAACCCTCACCATCAGCAAAAGCTATTACAAAATCATACAGTGGGAAAGAATAGAAATATTAAAATACTGCGAAGAAGAGTCCAACGCTCACCGTCTTTCTGCTGAGCGGATGGTGAACGGGCGTTTGTTGTTATTGTTGCGGTTTTCTTCTGCTAGTTTCTTTCCAATTGTAGTCCTGGCTCTGTTCTTCTCATCATTAGGACTCAGTGGGGCCTTTGCCCTTCCTAAAACACTCGAGGGCTCTGTGGGCTGCCTGTTGTCTGCTGCGGCCTCTGTGACTGGCTTGGCAGTCTGGAAAAACCTCTGCCGGGCTGCCTGAGTCTTCTGGGCTGAGACCGTCCAGGACTGGGAAGGTGAAGGAGGATTGACTGGCTTCAGAACAACATTCAGCGGGGCTGACAGCACGGAAGAGGGGCGGGGTGCAGGCTGGGTCTGGCTGGCACCATTTATTCGTACAGCTGAACTGGCGGGTCCGTTTTTGATCCCAGCCTCGGAGGAAGATGGTTTACAACTGTTCTGGTGGGCGTTACAGATAAAAGTGTCTGGACTCTTCCCAGGTTTGTAGCCTCCCGCATGAAGCACGCTGGAGCATTCGCTGCATCTGGTGGAAGTTTATTAACACAAAAATTACTCGTGCAGCAAATACAACACATGACGGGAAGGTATCAATGAATATGGGTCAAATTCTCACTTGAAACAGCTTCTGTGATAGAGCTTCCCGTCCACAAGGTGCCTCTGAACCAGATGAACGTGGCTCTTGCATGCAACACATTTGCTATTGAGAGTCCCGCTTTTGTTGGCATTTTCTGCCAAAACCGCCTTCTGTGAAAGAAGAACTAAAAGTGAGGGACTGCTCCATCCAAAAATGTCTAACACTTACCTCATTAACAATTACCTAAGCCACTGAAAATGAGCTAAATCCTCCTTATTCTTAAATATAGTGGATTAAAAAGGCAACACTGTAAGACAACAAAGATGTATTGTAATTTTGAATGCATGATTATGACACGAGCACTGACCTGAGCAGCAGCTCTGGACAACGTGGGTGAGGTCTGAGCCTTGAGAGTGGAAGGTAGACGGTTCTCGATGGCGGTTTTAGACACAAAGGTCTTGGCAACCACTGGGAGATTTTTCTTCTCTGATGGCTCCTCCTTGGAGCCCTCTGCTGGCCTTTTTACACCTCCCACTGAGGAGAAGTAAAACACCATCAGTGTCAAACATCACAAGGTAGCACAGGAGAGGAACAGTATACCTCAGCCGGGGAAGAAATATATTAATAATTAAAGAGAATCTTAATAGTTGGGAGGATGGACAGCTCTTAAACTTTGCTACAAAGTTTCTACAGATATCTGAGTCAGCCTTGTTCTCACTCGGAGGCCGCCCCTTGAAGTAGTTGTAGTACTGGGAGACGTAGGTGAGAATGCTCAGCCTGTCTGGGATCCTTAAAGCCACCATGTCTTCTGCATCCAACAAAGCCGGTATCCCCAACTTCTCTTCCGCGACCTGAAAAGCCTTGAGAGAAATAAATAAATAAATAAATAACCTACAGCCTTCCACTCCTGCCAAGACAACATTTAATGGCAGTGTATGATGTGCCAAGTAAACAGATCCAAAAGCATTTTTCACCATATAAAAACCATGGTATTCACCAGGGCACACAGACTCCCTACAATTACAGCATGTGTAAAAATGTCAGACAATACAATTTACTTTAAATAGAGCATTCTGTGGCTCGGGCCCAGAGAGGTCTGAGAAGGGCTGCATAATGAATGGCAAACTTCCTGTGAGCTTGTCGGGGGATAAGAATGAGAATGGAGGGAGCAGGATATCAGGGCATTGTTTAGGATCAGCCTGGACATGCTCATTCAATTTACAGAAGGGGCCTTACTGAATACTAAGTTTACTCATGTAAAAGAAGAGCACATAAAATAAAGAACGTGTGTGAGTCTGTGAGGTGGATCTGCAAACTAAATACAAACAATTTTCTTACTTAACAACCACCTGTAAGTAACACGACACTATTCATGAAATATAGAAGGGTGTAAATTAAACCACAAGGAGCCGTGTTCTCATGTTCCAGCACAGGAAGCCTCTTCAACAGTTGATCAACGCTTAAAACATGATCAAATGCACAATTCTCCCGCCACAAATCTGGTTTAAAGTGAACCTTCAAGGAGGTATATAACAGCAGTGTCTTCCAGTGAACTGTCATCATGTGGAATCGAGTGGCAGACGACAGCAGGCCTCATTCAAAATGAATGGCCCGGAGAGCCTCTCCCCAGAGCTCAGGTTTGTTGCTGACACTGCCAGGTTGGTCCAAGACGACGACAAGGAAGTCATACAGAGTGCATACTGTAGCACACTGCAGGGCCTGTAATCCCCAAAGGAAGCCGGTAGAATGGAAGAAGACTAAATAATAGAGAGGTCCCCCCGCTGTGCTGCTCGGGTCACGTCAGGGTTAACAAAATAAATTAGGTCAAGTGGACAGAGGGAGAGTTTGAGGAGAGTCCTGGCTTTGGTTTAAAATTCTGTGCTGTTCAAAATGTGGAAACAGATGAATATTTATCCACATACTCTCTGTGTGTGTGTCTCTGTTTGTGTGTGTGTGTGTGTGTGTGTGTGTGTTGCCTGGATGTGCCGTCATGTGTCTGGGGTTAATGAGGTGGATATTTTTTGCTGCATCAGATTGTGCATGTGGAGTGTGAAATCAGTCCCACTCGAGAATGCAAAGGTTCAACAAGTTGATCATCATCTTACCAGTCTGTTGTTCTCGAACACATCCTCCTTTCTGAGTGAGTCATAGTCTCTGGGAAATGAACAATGTACAATGAACAGATAAGACATATGTCAGACATGTTGGTGACAAGTGAGCTCACCTAACACAGGCTCAGGACTCTGAGGAGTTAAAACTATTGAAACATGTTAGATCTACACAAGCATACGGTTTCTTTAGAAATAACACATGCTACACGCTGTAACAGCAGATTTACACTAAAGGGGTCAAACATGGTTAGAATAAAATCACTTTCAGGTCAATGCTGAGCATCAAAGACAAATATAAACTTATGGAGAAAACCAGAAGAAATGATAGTAACTCAGGAGGGAACAGGGCAGGCTGCTCCAGGACAAAGGCTATCACTTCCACCTGCATTTTAACCACCTACTCAAAGTTCCAATACTTACATCAAGTCCGGTCTGTACTTGTGTATAAGCGCACAAAAAGCCAGTCCGTTCCTGAATGAGGTCGTCATGTTAGTGATGGCCACATCTCGGTAGCCTTCACACTGCATTTTACACCACTGCTCCAGGGCTTTGATGGCAGCCATGCTCACTGCTCAACACTCACTGCTGACAAGAGTGCGCAACAGGCAGAGCCTCCAGCGCGGAGAGGAGCCGGAGGAAAGAGAGGTAAAAACAAAGTGTCTCACTGCTCAGGGTTTGACCGTGAACTGCGGCGCGGCAGCTGCGTCCTGTTTCCGTCTTTTTAGCCGAATGAGTCGAGTCGAGTCGAGTCTCCGAGACGAGCTGTCGCTGGTGCTGGTGCTGGTGCTGGTGCTGCTGCTGCTGCTGCTGGAGGTGGTGGTGTGCTTTTCTGTGCGCTCATTACACCATTACACTAATTGACACCCACTGCCGATTCGTCATTCACAACCGTTGAATCAAACTCAGAAAGGTAAATAATAGTTTTTCTAATGTTTAGAGTTCAGTTGTCTCAAAGAAAAAAATCCTGCAAAATGAATTGGTGCATAAACCTGAATCTGATCTAAATATCAAGCACCTGAAGTGATGGTGAGCTACATTTTAATGCAACAGTGCCAGTTATATTCTGTAAAAAAAACAATAATAAATAGTCAAATTGTCATATTAAAGTTACATATTCAAGTTTGAGACTATAATCCAACCACCTGATGAAATATAAGTCCGTAGAATCTGATTCTGCTTCAGCTCCCGGTATGAAAGGTAAAATTAGTGCAGTTAGTCCTTCACCAGCCACCATGACATGTTCAGGGGGGTTTTCCTCAGAGAGAACCTTATGCTTAAAAGTGTGACCTTTCAGATAGAATGAAGGTGAATTCTGATTATATTATTGCTCTTTAAAGTTTTTGCTTCTCATTATTAAATGATGTCTGAAGTAGCCACCTGGATTGTTGGGAAATTAAATGTTACAAGAAGAAGTTATAGTAGCCTATCATTTCAATTCTGGTGGAGCAGAGTGACTTTTTTTTTGATAGTTTGCCAATGAACCAGTGTATTGGAATCTGACAAAGGATGCTGCTGTGCTTTTTTTGTATTTAAATGGTCTGTTGGAATCTCATCTGAGGGGAAAACCTTCATTTGTCATTTCCACACAGGTTATTTAAACATTTACAATAATATTTTCATTAAAAGATTCAGGAAATTAATCATTTTTTAGGTTCCAGTAAGGGGGGGTGGGGCGATGATGCTGTAGGATTTCTGAGGTAATTATACACCAGACCTGGTTATCTCAGCCAGCATGTCAGGGTCATTATACAGAGGAACCAATAACAGAATCTATGACATGCTTTTTTTTTTTTTTTCACCTCAGTCATCTTTGTGTGGGGCCTAACTGGGGGACTAATTGAGGCCAGCCATTGTCATATAAGGATTCTGACCTAATTAGCCCTCATTATAGTGTCCCACAAAAAATTTTGGGAACTCAGCAACTTTCATTTCATTAACTGATTATGAAGAATTATACTACTATGCTACATCATTCCATCTTAACATGAAACAAAACTCCAATCTTCGAATGTGCTTGTCTGACCCATTTTGAAATGCGGTTTCAGATTTGACCCACAGACCTCATCAGTGAGGGTTAAACCTCTGACATGGAGGGTTTAATTAGTGTGAGGCGAGAGCTGAACTTTAGTCTTTGAAATGTGAGCGACCCACACTGACCTCATTCAACGGGTTACAAATACTGTCAACATGAATTGTTTATTAACCGTAAAAAACAAAACAAAAAAAAACAAGAGGCCTGAGAAAATTTAAGCAGAGCAACACAGATTTAAAAGTATTGCAAACAACACATGAAAGATGTGTGATGACATTACAGGGGGAAAAAAAAAATGCAAACAGTTGTTGCATTTTAAAAACTCACTGTATGTTGCCTCATCTTTCCTGTCTGAGGACACCTTCGTGCCCAGAAGGGGGCAGTGTCACTCTGCACTGTTTAAAGATACTTTGATCACTCCAAACCTGTGGTCACATGCATAAACAATGCATACACATTATTAGTATCACTCCCATGCAATAGTATGTAATAGCATATATAAGATGTATGTAAGTTAAAGTAGAATTAAGCCAGCACACCGCCTGCAGACTGTGTGCACAGTTCAGGACAACCAGTCGATGTTATGGAAATAGGCAGTTTTTATAAACCATTACTTTTATCATCTTATACTATTGTCATTATCAATCTCTATTATCAGAAGATGAAACATTCGATTAATTAAAACTTTATGTGGAATTTATGAGCTGATGTTTTAAACCAGTATCTTCCTGTCATGTTGTTTTGTGTCTGAGTAAAGTCTGATGTATTCAGTAAGAACACACCCAAGAGATTATGAAATGCTTCCAGCCCCACTGCTTAATGTTTTCTTAACATTTAATGATTCACTTTCATTCACCGTCTTGTCAGTGTGTGGTGTTTATGTGGCATAACCTGAATTTATTTGTTAAGGCAAAACTAGATGCATATTGTTCTACACTAAGTCACATCTAATGACCTCAACATTGATCTACCACAGCTGATATTTCATTATGATATTATCATTGTTGTATTTGTTGACTGCTTTAAATCACCTTCACAGCTCTTTATACAATCTGTGCCACTATCTACCAAATGTCAGTGCAGCCAGGTCTTAAATGTATAAGCTATATTTAAAAAAAAAAAAAAAAAAAAACACTGACATGTATCATGTCATCTACATACAATAGACTCACTCTTCATGATTGGAGTTTTCAGCTATTTCCATTGTTTCCTGTGAGGACGTGTGGCTGCACGCAGACATCCTGCCTGTCTGTGAAGGTAACCTGAGAGGTCATGGATGAGCTCGTCACTGGTGAAATCATTTTAAAATCACTTGACATGATAAGATGGCAACATTTGCCATTTGTCACTGCTCTCTTCTGTTTAAGACCCAGAGTACAGTATCTGCAGTATCTGTATTCAGAGTAAAAATTAACATTTAAGATGCGATGAAAATCACATTCAAAATATAAGAGGCTTAAAAAGCCCATGCATGTGATGTTAACTAATACATGTAGCGTATAAAACCTTTTAATGGTTCTACATTTCTATCAAAACAGACAAAACAGTGATACATGTTCACCAGCAAAAATTCGAGAGAAGTTTAAAAGTTCTATGAAAATAAAATAAAATAAAATAAAAAGTCAAGAAAATATCTCAAAGGCTGGATGTACCATGAAGGCAAAATTTGAAATAGCTACAGTATAACCACTTGTCTATAGTTCTGTAGATATTACTAATATTTTATATTGTAAGACATATTTTACTAATAACAGCTAAATGATGAAAAGGTTCAGAAAGTTCAGGCATATTGATGCTATACACTGTGTTTCTTTAGGCTATGATTATCTGTACAAACAGGAAGAAGGAAAAGAATCAATCACTGTGCATGGCATCAGCTTCCTGTGTTCTTGACTGTGTGTCACCTCCTGACATGTTTACAGTGCTGTGGATCTCGGCCTCGTGCTCTCTGGCTTTGGCCCTCAGATTGGCGATGCTGCAGGAGCGGAGCTCGTCTGAGCTCGGCCCCTCCGGCCTCTCCCACTTCCCCATCTTCTGGGTCACGGGCTGCATATGCCCGCTCAGCGCGGCGCTCACAGCTTTTGTCCATGGGTAATTTTCTCCTTCCTGTCGCTTCTCCCAGTGCTCGCTGTCAGAACTCTCTGAGTGCTGTTTTAAACTCCTTTTCACTCTCTCAGATGTTTCATCACTGTCTCTCTTTACATAAGACCCAGCAACAAGCTGGCCCTGGAGCTTCAGCTGTCGCCTCATCTTGGCACGACGATTTTGAAACCAAACCTGGAAACAAACAAAAGAGTATCTGAATATAAACATAAACATAAATATGAACATAGGGTAACGTTTGTGTTAAAGTTTCAAAATGTTGACAAGATATCAAACTAAAATCCTAACATCAAAGTTATGTAAAAACTTTCCATAATATTTTATTAGGTAAATGAAGCCTCATTTAAGTTTCAGCTGAACTTTTGAATGCAAGTAGTGCAGATTTTGACCCCCTATATCTTATAGTATAGAGAAATGCATAATGCAAATAAGGAATTTTTCCGCAGCCAGTATGGACCCGAGGAACAAATACAGAAACCAGTAACCGTTTCAGTGTACATGTGGGCGTGTGACTATTGTTTTAAGACAGACTTGAGGAGCTGTAAACCTATGCAAGCTATATTAGATTTAGTGATTGCTGTGCCAAAATACAATGAATTTTCCCAGAATTTATTGTGACATTCTTGGTACTATTGACAACTTTGAGATTGTGAAAAGAACTGAATTCAGAAACAGGAATTGAATGTTAGTCAACACAAAAAGAGTTGGTTGTCACAAGCTGAAAAGCTTCATTTACACACTGTACAAACAAATTAATATCACATGGATGAGTATGAGGTGAATATTTCCAGAAAGAGCTCAGTCTGCCAAGTACCTGTACTCTGGCCTCAATGAGGTCCAGTCTGAGGGCCAGGGCTTCCCTCATGAAGATGTCCGGGTAGTGTGTGGTCTCGAAGGCCTTCTCCAGCTCCTCCAGCTGCCAGCTGCTGTAGTTGGCCCGTGCGCGACGCTGCTTCACTGGCCTCTGTTCATCTGGAAAGCACAGCGCGAGCACCAATTACACAATCGCCAACGGGTGACAAGGAACTAATGGCTCTAGATTGGGTAATTAGCGCAGCGATCATTAGGCCCACTTTAACACTGCTTGATAATTGATTGTTAGTTACGAGCTGTTAGCCAATCTTTTGTAAACATTTACACTGCAATCAGATGGTGCTCACTGACTGTCTTAGACACTGTGGTAACACAGTGCCAGTTTGGCTCTGCACAAGTCCTGCATCATACAGTCAGTCCCCGGGTCTAGTCACAGCAGCTGTGGTTTGAACTCACCTATGGCCTCTGTGAGTGGCCCCATCCCGACTGCCTGTGTGGCCAGGAGCAAAGCCTCCTTGCATGGCTCTGGCTGCAGATAACTCCTCAAGGTTTCGTAGCTGATAAAGGGCCCCGGGATCAGAATCTGAGGCTGAGAGCTCAATCTGGTTGGGAATGCCGGGAAAAAGTGAGCTGCAGGTGAATGGAAAACTGCAGGCAGGAGAGTAGAGACCAGTTGCCCTGGGCCAAACATGTCCAATCTATTAAGGGTCCAATATTAAGCAGCAGTCCAGTGGAAAGGGCCAGGTTGACTCCTACAGGGATGCTGATTGGATGGTGAAATGCATCCCAACATTCCAGATTTTAAAAAAATACAAAGTATTAAAAAGGTTATGATAAAATTGCTGCATGTATCAGTCCAGTTGGTTGTTGGAGCTGTTGGATGTGCTTCAGTGCAGGTATAAGGTGTTGCCTGAATAAGACTTGAGTGGTGGAGGTGGTCTCACCATAGCTCTCTGCTCTTCTCTCTCAATCCTTTCCCCCTCCTTTCCCAGTCACATGACCTCCAAACAGACAGCAGGGTTTGGTTTAGAGGACAGAGGTGAAAAATCCAACCTGTGACTCATCTCTCAGTGGATTATCAGTATTATCGCATCAGTGTTTGCTGTGTTCCTCATTACTTTCCCAACCGCATAGGCCCTGTACTCTATTTCTCTCTCATCTATTAACATTATAGTGACAGTGTACGACTTCCTCAGAATTTCTCTCTTTCTGCCTGCCGGGGACAAGTTGCAACATCTTTGGCTTCTGAGGTTTCAAGCAGCGAGATGGACGCGATCTCAGTGTGTGTGTGTGTGTGTGTGTGTGTTTATGTTCATCTAGACACGTACACCTTGAAGATTTGCACAACTCTTATCTGACTGGTTTAACAGTTGTCAAGTATAATAAGAGAAAATTACTGCAAAGGAGACTTAATTAAAAGAAAAAAAACACATGCAGGTTGTTCAGTCCTGTGGGACGAAAAGGCAGCAGACCCTGAAAAGCAGGTTCCAAGATAAACACCTCTCCTGACAACAAAGAGACATTTGCAAAGTGTTTTTTTTTTTAAATCCCTCCTAGTAACGTCATGTTAAATCTTATTGTTGATTTAATTTCATAGTTTTTTTTCCGAAAGTATTATTTTCCGCATCTGAAAGACAATTATGTCAATTGTCTAAACAAATAGTAGCAGTGTAGACACACACACACACACACACACACACACACACTCATTACCTGACAGAACACATCCATTAATGGAATATTAAAGCAGGTAAGCCAGGTGTAATAAAAAAAAAAAAAAAAGACAACTGTAAAAATAGGCTAATAGACAACCACATTGTTGTGCTTAACTACAAAAAGTACAGATGTTCATTTTGCATGCCGTGCTTTTTATCTTTACTTACTATACTTTTATGTCATCTTCACTGACCTCATGGATGTTAATACAGTGTGACTGATGGAACACATGGATCTTTGTACAAGATCATTATACCATGTAAAAAAGCATATATATATATATATGTGTATATATATTGCAATTATTAGTGGTGCTTTTTTCTTATTACCATCGTTGTAAAGCATGCAGTAGTCAGTGTTACCAGTCACTTACAAGATTTTTCCATCTTAGATCAAAGCACACACATCAACACATTAACAACCAAGACAGGAAGATTATTAACACTTCTTTTTTTCTTTGAGGAGGCAGCTGTAGCTTAGTGTTGATGGATCTCTGATGAGATGATTGCCAGCACTGTCTGTGTGAATTAAACACAGGTGTGTCAATTAATCCGCAGATGCATATCACCCAACAGCGCATCTCGCTAACTGCTCACCACCGGCTCAGACGGCGGTGAAAAACACTCAGCTGTCAGTGTTGTCACCGCTGAACTGGCGGGCTGAGGCGGCTTTGATCAGCCCGGGACCTCTCTGCAGGCAGGAGGCAGCTGGTCAGAGCTGAGGTGAGTCAGAGGATGGTCATACCTCTGCAAGCAGCGAGGACTGCAACTCCCTCACCTGTGGCCCTTTCATCTGCACCTGTTCAAACACCACATTAAAGCTTTAGTGGAGGCAATAAAGAGGTCAGGGCTAGAGTTTGACCGTTTTGGATTTCTTTAAAGCTGATATTTAGTTAATTTTACTCGTTTTTGTGTCAATAAATTCACTGTTTGACCCCTAATGTGAATCCCTGACATTGTTAGAAAGTTTCTTTGACAGCATTTAGAACATCATGGGACACTCAAACTCCCCAATAAAGCTTAGGCTGACAAAACATTTCCATCATCAAAAAACACCTAGACTGATTGACCACTTTTAAGATACACCTTTTAGTTCTTGGTTATTTTTAACTATATATTTTAACCCGATGAAGGATTTTAACCTTCGGATTACCGGAACTGAAGTTATCAGAGAAACAAGCTGAGCAAACGTTAGCGGCACCTGCATCCGTTGAACAGCGCCGGACAAGCACTGATTTCTAACATGAAACTGCTTTATCAGTGATTTTACCAGATTTAATCACATGGTTATAACCGCAAGTAGCTCAATGCAATGACAGCAGTGGTGGTGAAGACAACAACTCCCATGATCCCAAGCTACTTCACAACGTCACCAAGATCCGTCTTTTGTTCTTGTTTTGATTGAGAGACCCCTAGCAGCAGAAAATTACATATTGTGTCTTTAAAATACACATTACTAAAAAGGTACCTATATTTATTTAATATTGTGAATAATTCAGGCTCTGCATTACTTTAATGTTTGGCCACCATCAATGATAGATGACACAACCAGCTGATTTAGGACAGTTTTTAGCACTTAAGTATGTTTGTGTGTGTGTGAGGGAGAGGGAGGACAGACAGAGATAGAAAGAAATCATTTCTTCTTTGCAAGTTCTGCAGGGAGAAGGAAAATAGATTAAAAGTGTCTGGTTTGAGCTGTAGCTAAATAAACACTGTGTGTGGTGGGACTGACGACTGAATAGCCATCTTCGTTTGTCCCTGGCACACAGGTAGTCACAGGGATTTCTGGTCTGTCTGAAAGTAGACCCCCTTACCCCAACCCCCCCAAATTTCTGTGTTTGTCTGTGTGTGGGTCCTTTAATGCCCATTGATCCAGGTAATCAGGGATAAAATTGGTGAAAAACCGGTGGGGGAGGTTCTGACAGTAGCTGCTCAAAAGAGCTGCTCGTGGATAATTGAAGGAGGCATTAAGACAACAATAGTAATGGCTAATGCCAGGCCTTATTGGTCTCTTAGGTATTTCTAGCTCCCTGGATGACAAGGCAACACCGGAGATCTTCAGCTGAAATGGCAATCATCGTATCATTAGCAGACCTTCAACTGCAGGGACATAACGTGCATTATCTGTTGGTTTAGCAAGCCATCAGTGGGATACCCTTCAGAAGGCTTTAGCTTGAAATGGACTTGTTTGAGCTTGCATTCATTCATTCATTGCAGACTGGAGGAAAAGGGACATGTGAACTCCCCCTTCAAAGGTGTGTTTTCGGATCTCAGGTAACATAATGATTCTGAAATTTGGAGACACTTAAAGTCCAACTCCACTCAAAAATATGCTCTGCTTATTGTTATTGTTATCTGCACGTTTCATCTTCACTGTACAGAATGAGGTATGAAGAGTCACTAGAAGGCTTCTCTGTGTTCAACCACAACCATGTGATTGTGCTTTTGTGATTTCAAAACTAGTTTGGAAGCCAGTCGTGGTCCAGGGTGCAACTTATACAAGTATGATGTGGAAACTTAAATTTTTTGTAGGAAAATCTAAACCAAATTATTATTTAAAGCAGAGCGTTTTCCTTTAGTAAGTCTTAAACATGTCTGAGGAGGATCTTTAAACCTGTAATAACATTTTTTTGTGTGTGTGTGTGAACACAATACTGACATATCATCTTTTAAAGGGTTATAATATGTCAGCACACATCAGGGCGCACTCAGGGCACATTGGAGGCTACAGTGAGTCATTATCGGTGATGAGATGGGCTGGGGCTAGCTGGTTAGCATGTTGAATTCGGGGGATGAAAAGACATGATAGAGACAAGAGTTAACGTTGCTTTCCACCACTGAAGACAGCTCTTGGTGAGTAAAGGAATGAAGTTTGATGCTGAACTTGCAATATTTTTTCTAGACCGGTAAATACACAGCTGTTTAGGCTAACGCTGGCCATGTAGCTGTAGCAAAACTTACAAATAGCTCCTTTAAGTTGATATGCTGAACTGAACTTTTATCCAACAGTTATGGAGCAACATTATCTTTCACTTGGGGTTATTTTTGTGACCATTTGATGAATGCAAGTCCAATATTCCCTCTCTTTTTATCTCTGTTTTTGGTCTCCACCCCCCTGAGGGAAATATCTGGCTCTTTGGCTGCAAAATGCTCCACTATGTTCAGCAGCTAGACGCTAACTGTGTATGTCTGCTGTTTGATGCTGATCCGCTAAGTACAGTGGCTTTAAGAGCTTTTTTAAAAAAAAATTCTGAAAACAGCTGCCTGCAGCTCTACAAATATTCATCATATTAAACATTTGATTATTATTATTTTTTTTTTTTACCAAGGCTTATACACTAACATAGACATTTTTTTACCTTGGAATTTGTTGCAGAAAACACTTAAAGTGAGATGAAATTTAAATGAAATGATGTGGGCTATTAACCCTCTTTTTTCCTTGACAGGCATGGCTGAAGTGGATTAACTGTCACACTCTGCCCTCAGTGTGATAAGATACAATCTGACATAATGGAGATCGTGAACATACCACATTATTATACTTTCTCTTCCACTACAATGGCACTTTAGCTCATAAAACAAGAGTTCTGCCAAATGTCATGCGAAGATGGATGATTATTGTCAGCTCCACTGTCATGGGAATATATCTATCTGGTGTAATTTGCAAGCTGGAGCAGCAATGAGCACAGATAAGATCAATATTTAATGAAAGTGTAAGTGAAGCTTAAGGGTTGTCACTTATGCCTCTGCTGTTAATGACATGTCACATTATCATTCTTATCAGATTGGGTCAATCTTTACTGCAATTACTGGCCTCATTTCTTTTTAATTCATTACAAATGTTGAATCATTTCAGTCTCTGTGCAAACACACCAGGAATATATTCCCCGGCTGCTTGCATATGTATTTTAGTGTCAACCTGCACAAACTTCAAACTAAAATCTATTAATGGGAGTGTGGATTGGTATAATTCAATCAACACACCTAAAATGTGTTT